GTTCCTCCATATGAACACGAGATAAAGTTGCATGAATTGCTCGAAACAAGACAGGAACAACAGATAAGAGAACTACAAGCTGCTTTGGGCAGTGCAAGGCAAGAGCTTCGTGAAAAGGAAGGAGAGATTTCTTGGTAGAAAGACACTGCACATCCAATGTCAAGGCATGTTAATGAACCTTCGCGACTTAATTTCCAGCGTGGTCAACATACTCATCAGTCACTTGAGGTGAGAAAAATTAGTACTTACTATAGCACTTTTGAGAGTACCATGTAGCTGAAATCACCATCACCATCAAGTTTAGTAGTTGTGTTGGTAATCTTTGTTTTTTGCTTAAAGCATTTGCAATATATTTAGTTGATTAGTTTGCAAGTGTAATGAGAAGTAGGGAAACAGGAAACTAATTCACAGATTGAAGGGATATAGTTTGTCAATGGATTATTTACAAAATTCTGGTTTGCTTTGATCATTACACGTATATTAAAGGTCTTCCCTCTATTTTAGATCAGAGATTTTCTTTTACCTATTCGGATGCTTCGTTTAGAATTGATATTTTCATTAGTTGCTGTTTGCAATTTTAACTCGGATGTCTCCCTTTTGAATCCTCAATGTTTTAGCCCAAAGACTGATGAAAAGCCTGTTCGAAAGAACGCGGCCCATGAGATCATGAACAACTTTTTCTAGGAGTACAAAAAGAGAAATCCCCATGGTAGATCAGATTATCGATGACAGTTGACTTGGCCTTATGACCAGTAATTAATACTGTAGTCCGGAGCCTCGGCTTCACATTCTTGCAACGACAGAAAGCAACTAACCATCACGTTTGCCGTTTTCTTTTGTTGGTTCGAAGAAGAAATCGCACAAACAAGATATGACAGATACGAACATATCGTGCAATCACGCCATGCCTGAGCCGCCACCACCCTAAAGAATTGCATTTCGTTTTAAAGCTGATATATTAACATGTAGTTTGAACGCAAAGAAAAGCAGCCCCTGTGCGCACTACGCATCCACCTTTTGCCTGTTCTTTTTTCAAAGGCTTCCATTGATTTAGTGCTGGTCCTTGGGAGAAATAGTTGGTTGGTATTAGTTAGTGCCATAAAATTCAAACAGGAAAGTCGTCCCTCTTCTGGCAAATTAAGAAGAAAAAAGAGAAAAAAATCATCTGTCAACGTAAAACTCTTCAACCTCGTTTACTTTCCTCTTTAGTTTACTTTGTCATAAATGTTAGTTAATTATCGCATTCTCCAAATCTTGAATCCTCAACTTGGGTTGTTTTTTTCTTGTCTTTAACTAAACATGAATATGTCTCTGGTAATGATGGTAATTTTGTCTATTTGACATCTTCAGTTTGTAAAATCAAAATCCAGAGTCCAATGTTACCAATGGATTGACGCTAGAATTGGTAAGAGACTCATTGATCAGGCAAGAAGACACCATTGTTTTCAGTCCCATAGAGAGAGCCAGGTTTCCTTTAAATTCTCCAACCTACGACCCTTCATTTGCTTCGGTTCCTGGGTCTTGCGGCTCTTTGGTTGAGTTCATTGTTAAACAAACAGAGGCCATCCAAGCTACGGTAAACTCTTTTCTTCATCTCTCGATTATGTCAAGAATGTTTGGCCTTCATTTTTTTTCTTTTTTAATCTTCATAAGTAAATAACAGAAGGGTTGTTTTCTTCACTGATTCTGAACCTAACACGTCAAGTTTGTTTGCAAACAGTTTCTATTCAACTTCTTGTCTTTTTGCTGTCACTGAGTTATTACTAATATAATATTAATGCTCTTCAGTCTTCACACATTTCACGCCAAGAAAAGAAAAACATTTTTTTTTCTAGATATATGGAAAGATTCTACCTTGGTGTCTTTAAGCTATAGCCACCTCAATCCCCACAACAGAAGAGGAAAGCAGCAAATAGTGCTACTTGAACCATTAATTCCGGATTTGAATCCTGAAACATAGTGCCTTTAAGCTATAGCCGAACCTTGTGTACTGTAGAATCATACCACTTACAGTACTTGGTTTGTTCTGGTCAGTCTTGCTATCTACTCAATGTTGTTTCATGCTTCGTATATGTTGACAGTGACACTATTCTCATGTTAGAATAAAGTGGGTGGAAATAAAAACTGCCAATTTGGCAGAAACCCATGTCAATAAAGTTGCAATAAATGGTATTTGTTTGGCTTCATTTTGTTCTATTAGTTCATCTACTTTGACATTGATTGGAACGCAACCTTCAATTTGAATGTGATAAAGGCTGGGAGATATGAGAATCCTGAGGAACATCCATTCTTCCCAGATAATCTACCACCCTCGCTGGTGCCACGTCATAAGTATCCTGAGGTAATTTATTCTCTCAAGCTAATACCGGTATTTCCCTTTACGATTTTCCCAAAACTGGAAACAGATTCAATTATAATTTGATCTAATTCCAAGATCACATGTTTTGCATCCTGTAGCCATTCCTGTTAACATGAATAGGATCATATGGGATATGTATTTCAACAAACTGCTTCCATTGTTTGTCACTCCGGGCGATGATGGAAACTATGCATCAACAGCAGCTCGTGATCTTGACTGTTTACAGGTAAGAATTTCTTGTAACGTCTTCACATCTGTGTGATATGAAGTTAGAAGTTTCTTACAAATGCAATGGCATTTTGTTGCCATTGTACACTTTCAGGACAAAGTTAGAAGATCTATTCTAGCAGTGACTCTAAAATATGTTGCTGTTTCCTTCAGGCCCTCTCTAGAAGAATACATTACGGAAAACTTGTAGCTGAAGTTAAATTCAGAGAAGAACGGAAAGATTATGAGCCAGCAATTCGAGCTCAGGTACTTTAATTTTGATATCTAGTGGTAAAAATTGGACCATACTGGGATTTCTTTGTTCGGCTTGCTTGGACCTTACATGCTGTTAGGCAATCGTATATGATCCCAATGATACATGTAGATGGAAGACATTTTATAAATTGTATTTTTTGGTGAAGATGATCATTTTGACTTCTCTTGCTCGCAATAATGTTGTGGGTATTTCAGGATAGAGATACTCTGATAGATTTATTGACCTTTGCGAATGTGGAAGAAGCGGTAAAGAAGAGGATGAGGAAGAAGACTATAACATTTGGGCAGGAAGTGAAGCTCGGTGATGATGGCAACAAGGGACAGTACAAGGTGGATCCAGCTATTGTTTCCCGCCTCTATGGAGATTGGGTGATTCCCCTAACAAAGGACGTTGAATTCCAGTACCTCCTTCATCGCCTTGACTGAAACCTTCACCAGATCACTTCCTGATTAGTTCCTTATTATTCCAAATAAATAAGATTGCATTATCAAAACTCCTTGTTCATATACCTTAATTCAAATGAAAAAAAAGAGTTTTTTTATTATACTCGTATTAAGACACAATATTGTTGTTTCAACGTAGGCTTTTTCATTTTAATTTCATATCATCGACTCAAACCAGATTGTAAAGATCCTAATCCAATCCTGATAAGTGGTAGGCTTCTTCATTTTAATTTCGATGTCTTCAGGATTGATCACTACCGTCCGATTTGTTGACTGCTTTAGTCAAACCAAACTCGGTTCAGTCAGAGTTTTTCCTATAGGCCTTAAGATGTGCTCGATTCATGATTGACCGAGACTTTTTAAAGCCCACAGAGTAATGGGCATGGAGCCATCGACCTATGAATGCTTTTTTCTTTTTAAATTTACTTTTTTGGAAAACAAATGTTTCATTACTTTAACTGAAGGGGAAATAATGAAATAAAGATTATATATAAATGAATTAATGATTTTTTCTTTTTTTAGATTTATAGACTTCTCAATAGAAATTTATTGTTTATAAATAAATTATAATCATGCTTTCAAAACCACAAAGGTGAAGTCATACTGACTGTTATTACAAATTTCAGGGATGAATATGTCTCCAAGCATAGAGATGATCAATTTAACGCAAATGGATTCATTCTGTTTGAGTAAAGTTTCTATTTACAAGCCATTGATGCCACTGTTTTGGAACTAACTGATCATCAACTAGAATAAGCATGACTATCACCGACACCTCAACTGTAACATATATCATAGGGTGAATTCCTATCTGCATCGAAGATTTCTTGAAGCTGTGAAACAATGGGAAGATTATACGTCCCGAAACTGACTCCGGCTGTTTTATAGAAATAATCCCAAACGAGGTTGCTGGCCACTGACTGCATGTTTACGAGATTGAATCTGGTGAAGGCCGGGTAGATATTCCCAGTATGCTTTCCTTTGTGAATGGCAGGTCCGGTCAAGTTGTAACCTGGAACCTTATACTGATCTAAACTTTGCCTGAAATTTGTTGTACTTTGAAGAAGAGCAGTCAGCAGAGACGTTTTTTTTTGGCCGATGAGCAGAGAAGTGGAAAAAAAAAAGTAACACACTAAAATGAGTTAGGTGATCTAAGCTGGCAATGGACCAATGTTCATGTGACTGCCATACTACAGGGAACAGCTACATTTCCTAATATTGTAAGAATCTATGTAATTACAACTGCAAGATGTTCAAGTATCATAGAGTAATAATGGTACTTGAAGGTACCTCTGAGACAGCAGTTAAAAGAGATGACCAATTAACTGTTTGCTCCGTATATTGGGATTGACCAAGCCAGTCAATGGTACTGATCCTTACAGTCCCTCCATCTCCAGATTTAATTGTATCTAGCCATGCCTGTTCATCAGGCTAGAATCTGCCAAATGACAGCTGCTGACCACCATTGGCATAAAATTGGATGGGGCATAAAAGACCAAAAACAAAAAAAAGAAAGGGAAAATGAAACACGAAAGCTGCTTAGCATTTCCTTGAACTAGAGTGTGGGGCTGACTTCTGCTCTCATGAGAGAGATGAATATTTTCGAAATGCTAATCCAATCCAATGAATATGGATAGCATGGACATGCCAGACCCAAATAGCCAAGAAAAACTACTTAAATTGGATCAGACATTCAACAGTTGTTTACACTCCATAGTCTTCCCTTTTCTCAACTTGAAGGTAGTCTCATCGATTGACTTCTGGTTCTGATGAATCTGACATACCTTTGGGAACAAAATCATTCCATTTAGTTTCCTGTAGGATTTGAGGACCTTTAACTTTTGGTTACTGTTGGTTCATGTGACTGAAAGATTCTACATGGAGGGACAAAGCCCAAAAACAAAAAGGGAAACGAGGAACATCCAATATGATTCAAATGAGGGTAAGTTTACATTTATCATACTCAATCGAACAACTTTTCCTTTTTGAAACTGGTGATCCCATCATTTGATTGAGAATGGAATTTAAATTGTTGTATTTTAGTGTGTTTGAAAGAAGTGGTATCTATATACATGTATGATGTAATGCAAGTGAGAAGAACTTTCATTGATCCATTCTCACCATTTCTTACAATTTAACGGAAGCCTAACACTCTTATTAACGAGCATTTCTTGGCCATGGGTTTGTCCAGCAGTGGCACATCTCTTCAGGAGAAACAGGTAGTTGATCCCCGAATTATATCACAGGTAAAGGAATACAAAAGATTCAAGGAAATGCAGTTCTCCAATTAACTACACGAGACTTAAATATGAGAATGGATGATCAGCTATTGGATAAAGATGTTCCAAAGAGCACTACTCAAAAACAACTGATTACATTCTGTAGCCGACCCCCATTTTAGAACACTTCACACAAGACAAGAACCCCATCAACTACAACAAAATCCTACCGGTTTTTACACTTACAACAGCTTGAATCTTCTTTACCCGTTTACGTTCCGATAAACCTCAGAATTCTTCTCTAGGAAATTGAATGCCTCCTGTGTCTTGAAGATATACCAGAGGACTTTGTATCCCCTGGAACCATCGAAGTTGGGCTTTGCGAACTTCCAGAGGTCTCAGAACTTTTGTTCTCCACATGCGTTTTTCCCACAACCCACAACTTGTCAAATATTCTTCTAGATCGAGATGGCAGCAGCTGCATGCCAATTTTACTGCTTTTGCTATTCTTCTTGGCCAATTTACCATTTTTTGGGAAACCATCCTCTTTTATCTTAACTTGACTCATCTGGTTCTTGAGGGAGTTGCAATCTTCAACTGGAGTCTTGTCACATTCTTCATCAGTGTTCGTCGTGGAATATGAAGTGTCGCGAGGATTGTTGTTAAGCGATTGAACTCCAGCTGCAGCCCTAACCTGCTCAAAGAAGAGAACTTGAACTACAACCCGTAGTGGAAGTCTCTCATTCTGTGCAGCATGCATAGATGCATCCATTGTCAATTTCTTGACATCCATCAGTGCGCAAATTTTCTTTCTTTCAGCCTTCATCAAGCCAGGATGCTCCTGCAGACATAACAACCCAAATTTACACTGTCCAAGTGCGCTCATGAAAAGGCTTCTGGTTCTCCTAATATGATAGTGGCAGGCATTATGAAATACCAATAGAGATTTGTATAATTTTGTTAGGCTACAGACAAAACTCTGTACTATCTAAGGACACTTTTAAAGATTTCAATGAATATATTTTGCACTTGCCAAAAAATTGATCATAACTCCTAGATCCCAACAGGCTGCTTCAAGAACTAAGAAAATTAATCAAGCCATGTGTCTTAAACTAAGGGATTGACTAAAGGAGACCATATTTTGTTTCAAAAAAGAATAGATAAAAGAACACGGTATTACTAGATTGCAAGGTACTAGTTGAACTTTGAATTGGCCTGACAACATTTTTGCCCTCTCTACCAATAACTTGTCTCCTCAACCCAGCCCCTCCATCCCTAAAGCTGCATTACTGGTAAAGCAGTTAGGATTACAACCTTATAACATTACAGATCTTGAAAAGACCTGCAAGATCCACATGCTGTCACAATGTCATAAATGGTGGTAAAACCTATCCAATGATTGCATGGTAGTGGCCTAAATGTACCTTGAAAGTATTCACAACAAAAACTTAATTGAGCATCGGAAAATAGTCTGAAAGAATTTATGCATATGTATTTATGTAACGGGATATATAATTCTAGAACATGAGATGATCAATGAAATTGGCATCCATAGTGTAAAAGGCTACCTTCAGGTACATGTCAATGGCTTTATAGAGTCCATCATGAACTGGTCTAGCAAACTCAGGAATAGACTGAGATAAGTCAATGAAACTGGCCAGGGAAAGATTTGGGTCGCATGCAATTTCTTCAAGATACCCATCAATCAGTTTACCAACACTCAACAAGGATCCATGCCCTAGAATTAAATCAGTACATCCCATCTCATTCTTTGCAGCATCTAAATCTTGACTATGCTTTTCATGCATCATATACTGACTCACAATAGACTGCACCATCTCAACATCATATAAAGTAGTTTGGGGAGACTGTGCCGGTATTAATAAATCGTTGACAGAAGCTTCATGCAAATTTAAACTTATCCTCTTCACTAAATCTTCCTTTGCTGAATCATCCATCCCAACCAAAATGGCAACTTTCAACAGCTTCAGCAAGAAACTACATGAACAACCCACACCCTTATCCGAAGGCAATAAGCATACAATTGTTTCCACCAGTAATTTGTTTCTCCAGGAATGTACATTAGAAACCAAGGCATCAACAGAATCAGGCAACCATCTGAAAGCATAAGTTTTCAGTGCCTCACCAATGACAGCACCATCCATTCTGCCCTTTGATTTCACAGCTGTCATGATTCGCTTGTAGAGATCAATCTCTAGTTCACATATATCTTCAACCCACCAATCCTTCGGGACAGATTCAATCTTCTCCCGAAGTTTCATACCATCACCAACTATTTTCTCAGGCACTGATAACTTCCGGTTATATGTGTAGGACCATGTGATGTTTGCTGGATCCACAGAGGTTTTAGATGCAATGGAATCAATGCATCGTCCAACAATCTTCAGGTTTTCAGACCATGGTAGAAGAGATTTGGCGGTTTGTAGTACAATAATGGAATCTTTCCAGGTACGGAATATACTAGAATTAAGAAATACTTCAATTTTAAAAATTAGGTTACCTCGATCAACATCCTCAGTCATCTCTAGGTATTCAGCCGCACAACGAGCAGCCACAACATTGTAAGCATTTAAAGTAACAGTCATCCCATAGCAGAATTTTGCACAAATTTCAAATGCTTTTGGCCCACCAGGAAAATCAACCATATTAATCTCATCAGAGTTCTCTTCACTGGCTTTCAGCACTAGTTTTTGCAAGTGATTGCTCTTCGACAATAGGGGGAACTGCAAAGGTAAATAAAAACATCTGTAATTGACAATAATAGTTAGGCAGCAGCCCCCCACGGGTAGAGCATTTTAGAACTTTTTTTTTTTTTTTTAAGAAAGAGCATTTTAGAACTTATTCTTAAATATAACAGTTTAGTTTGGCTGAGAGAAGAAATCAAATAAAGAGAAAAAGATTCAACTGCATTCCAACTACATTGGCATCTATTATGGCAAAGAGTCATCTGAGGCAACTTCTGCAAAAGTTATCGGATGAATTATATGCTATCATCTGCCAGATTCCACAGAATCAAATTAAGCTACTTTGACAAAATTTTGCATACTTATACCTATGAAATGGTAATAATAGCAATATTTTTCTGGAAGAAGAAAATTCAGTTGAATAGTTATTTCAAAGAAATAGATGAATATTTCATGAATTTTAAATGGAATATAGAAAGAAAACTATTTTAACATGAACCAAATACCAAAACTAAGCAATAAATTCAGAATCTACAAACACACGCACCTGACTAAAGCAAAAAAAGAAGGGGACTGAGCATACCTTGTGAAGGTAAAATTTCACTTCGCCAATGTTAATGGTGACATCAGTTGCCAAATCAGATGTGACATACCTGCATCAACAGATATTTTAAACCCACAAAGAGGGAAAACTTAAAGCTAAACATTTCGAGAGAACAGTAGAAACTTAACCCCTCCCCCCCCAAAACACACAAGAAACTGCATTCATGATGAAGATGATAGCAACATTAAAATGTAAAGCTTAAACAATGAAAAAGAACAAAATAGGAGCCAATTTTGCCTCGTTGGCTCTAATGAAAGAACCAAGGTTATTGCTCACCTGTCAAATTACATTAAAAGAAAGAAAACTCTTTGCCATCCAAATAGCCCCAAGTTAGTCAATTCAATGGCTATGGTCAACGGACTGAAAATTTCAAACTCCGTGAGAAACTACATGCTACTTCTCAAACTCCTTTGTGACTTTTAGGTAAAAGTTTTGCCCCTCCTAAACATGAAAAACAGGTTTAACAAACCAGAAGCCAGAAAATGGCTGGAAAGCCTCAAAATCCAGCGGTCAAGTACAGCATTATTATTAAAGATTAATTCTGGATTTTAGTTTCTATTTATTTACTAAAATATTTTACTTTGGCACAAAGGGTTTAATTACAACCTCAACCAAAAACCATTACAAAAAGACTCCGGCCACAGCTTTATAGAAACATATTAGTGTCTCACAGACTTGTCAATAAGGAAACAAACTCACAAACTGCATCCGCCTGACATTTTCATTTTATGATGCAACTAAACATCGCTCATGTCTCTTTCATTTTTCCCTGTCTTAATTAGCCGTGTCATCTTAAAATGTTCAAATCTGAATGCAGTAATATTCGTTTCCAAATAGATGATGCATAAAAAGATCTTGAGGGTAACCGCCAACCAAAAATGGAAAACAAAATCATTGAGGGATCATATTAAATCTGCTAGTCAAAGAATGTAAGCATCCCAAATCGCAGTACATAGTTCAAGTAAAAAATTAACGCATCCAGGTCACTGGACTAGATCACTCCTACTTCCTCTGTCTTAGCAAAACAATGATAAACTGATTCGGTTATGAGAAGTTGTCGAAGGGAAGAGACTGTTGGACATATATATGGTGTAAAATCAAAGCTTGCTCCTCGTTGGGAGATGGGAAATGCCTGATGTTAGGTGGAACATGCTATTGTTTACAGGTAGAGATTCTTACAACGATGATTAAAGGCCTGCTCCCGTTGTGCCTTTCCCACATTTGGACCACTAAGTCATGAAAAAGAGTATAGGTCCAACAGCTGGACCACTTCCAAGATATCCCATCTTCTTTTTCACTCTTCAACTTCAACCCCCCACAAAACCAGACAATAAAAGGATAATAATTGTAATGAAAACACCCATGTGGTTAATCTGTCACCAAGCCAAAAGAAAATCAAGAGAAAGAAAAATTACTTGTTAAAGTTGTGACTTTTCCCAATGCCATGATTAACCACTGAAAGTTTTCTTTTTCTTAAGGTATATTAAAAAAACCATTGAGGCTTAAACAGCATAAAGTTGATAAAAAAACATAAATTTTCATAAACAGCACAAAAAATACCAGTCGCACAAAATATAATAAATTACACATTTTCAGTGGAAAATCGTTAAGAGGCTAGAACTAAAGAACTTGCATCTCAGAAACCGTACGGACCATTAAGCAGAATACAGACAACGGGGAAAACACCAAACCCGAGAACCAAAACCGATAGTTAAACATGTCTGGAGCAGATATCATAACGGAAAACAAAGTGCCAGGCAAAACGAAACCCAATCTAACGAAGATAACAGAATGTTAAGAAACCAAAAAATAAAAGGAAACAACACTGAAGAAATTTTGCATAAAAAAAAAGAATGCGAGTGAAACCGATCTTACCTGATGCATTTGCCATCAGACTGGAAGGAGTCAGGCTTGAAGCCAAGCTTCATAAACTTCATTTTTTGTTCTTTTCTCGAAAATACGCTTACAGAATAAAAGAAACAACAGGAATACTCCCTTCAAACACCCTCAAGATTCAAGAAGCTGGCCTAAGTTCCTTGTTGTTGTGGAGCTGCCCATACCGTGTACCATCGACAAATATCTCTCTCTCTCTCTCTCTCACACAGCTGAATAAAACCAAACCAAACCAGAAATCGAGAGCAGAGGCAAAGAAAAGGCTATTATTCTTCAAAGAAAACTTTGAGACTTCGAGAAAAAAAAAAAGAAACCAGGCAATTCAACAGCAAAAGGCCAGGGAGAGAGCATTAATAAACATTGGACTGAGACAACAACAACAACAACAGGAACACCGACAGGCCCTGCTTCCTTATCCTCCTCCACCCCTTCCTCGAACTCCACGCTGTTCCCACCCCATTCCCCATTTTCCACTTCCCACACTTTATGATGACGTTGATGACGCTTAATCTTAATTATCAAACAAAATTCACTAACAAAAACCAAAACCAAGAAATAATTCGAAAGGGACCAAAATCCAGAAAAAAAAAAAAAGCAAAGTAAAGGGTGGCGTCAGAGAGAGAGAAAAGAGAGTAAATTCATGGTTTCATAGAGAGAAGGAAAGCAAGGAAGCAAGCCAACAAGACAGATAACAGCAAAGGAGATAAAGGAGAGAGCTCAGGGCCAACGGGTCATGTGTATGAATGATGGGGTTGTTTGTATCAGATACATCATATCAATAAATTCTCGCCGCCTTTGCTTTTAAATCAGCCTGATTTGCTGATATATCAAAGATATTTCTCTCTCCTTTGGCCAAGGCGCAAATCTCGATGACTCTCTCTTTCCCTCTCTTTTATACTATGGTAAAGACTAAAATATATCTGTGTGTACGTGATCAATGGTTGATCAGCTTCCCGGTCTGGCGCACCTCCTCTTCTAATTTTTTTTGTTTCCTTGTTTTTTTTTTTTTTGTAAAGAAGGAAAAATAAAAATAAAAAAATTGGATTAATATTGGGATTTTGTAAAATGTGAAGTGTGTGGACTGGTTTGTATAGGGAGTAGGGGGACTGTGTTGACAGGGTGGCTCAGGAAAACTTTTTATGGAGCCTTTTTTTTTATGCCGTTAAAGCACGCCACCTTTTTCTTTACCGTTTTGCCCTTTTTCTGATCTTTTATTTACATCCGCTTGCTTTACTTTCTTTCACGCGCTTCTTTCCCGCTCGCGTTGCTTTTGCTTTGCTTACTTTTTTTTTTGGTTTGACGCGTAGCATTGTCCTTGACTTTTTTAACGCCAGCTCTCGTTCCTTTTTTTTTCGAGACCGGGATGCTACTATGAGAAAAGTTTTAGCCCGGTCGTGTCGTGTCACTCAATGAAAAGTTAACACGTGTCATAATGGAGTACGTGGTGCATTTTGAATGGATAATATGAGATCTAGCTATCTTCTCCTGTCTTATACTTTGTTCAGGATTTTCTGGCACCAAGCAACTTTTTCAACATAAAATCAAAGGCTTTGTTACTAATTAATTACAGGGATGGTTGTTGAGAACGTAAAATTCAATTGAAATAAGCTAAAACGACATCGTACAAGGCTCAAATTAGGTAAGCAAAGCAAGAGTTTAACTTTAAAGCTTTCACATGTGGTTTTCGTGTATAAATGACGCATAGTTTAAATAGAAAAATGATAGTAATTGACGAATGTGTTTATATTTTTTTAATTTTAATTTATTTTGACGTTTTCATTGCGAAATATGATGCTATTTTCTTTTGGCCAATGAATATGATGCTATTAAGTAACAAAATTTATTAATAAACGCCATAATAAAATAGTAAAAGAACCTCACTTTGCTTAAATTGACTTTTTATTAGGTTAAAACAGAAGAAAATTAGGATTAAGATCAAACTTATCCGTATATTACGTTTAAATATTTAATTTTATCATATTTTTATGCAAAAAAATTCATAATTTGAGAATAAAAAATTATAAATATTACGATTTGAGTTTAAATTTTATCGAATTTCATATTTTAAAAGTTATTATTAAATTATTTAAGTTTTATAAAATTTAATTATTATATTTTTAATTTTTATTATCTTAAAATAAAATTAATAAAATCAGAATATTTCAAGAAATATTTCATTAATGTAAGTGATAAAATTATGTTAATTTAATTATTTTAAGATTTAATAAAATTAAAAAACATAAAGATAAAATTCAATGAAATTGAAATATTTTCCATAATAAAATGTTAATTTTGACTTATACGTAAAAGGGTGTTTAATTTTATAATAGTCATAAAATATTTACCGAAGGCCGTGAATAGTAACTCAATGTTAGGAAATTAAGGGCTTGAAATTTAAAGTTGATGTGTCGGCCTTGACATTCAAAAGAGAAGAGTAGGTCAATGTAAAACATTTACAATTGTCACGGCCTTCAAAGTTCAGAAAAAGGCCATTAATGCAATTAAGGAAAAAGGATAAGCCCCGAGGATAAACAGACGACAGCTGCCTGTTGGGCTCGCACCATTCAGTGCAAAGTCATGGCCGCTTGTACAAAAAATAATCAAAATTAATAGTGATAATGGTTTCGGTTAAGATTAATTTTGATTTAATTTTTTAAATATTATGATAATTTAAAATTGATTAGAATTTAAATCAAATTTTTATTAAATTTTAATCGAATCAATAATTTACTAATTTTTAATTTTTTTAATTTTAATATTATTGTAATATAAAATTTTAACATATTTATGTAAATTGTAATATAAAATTATTATTTTTATTTTACTAAAATTTAAAATAAATATAAATTTATAAAAATATATCACTCAATTTAGTTTAATTTTTTTTTATTTTTTATCTCTGATTTAAAATTTAATATGAACTTAATATATATATTTAAATTTAAATTTATTCGAATTCAATAAAAAATTTTAATTTAAATCAAATACTAAAATTTTAAATCAATTTTGAGATTTTTTAATTTTTTTTATAGTTTTTAATGTAGATTTTGAAATTTGGCAAAAACGTTAGTGCAAAGTAGTTTAGAATATGTGGAAATATTGTTTGCTGATCAATTAATGCTGTATCTCTATTATTCACTGAAAATCGATTTATTGAGAATTAACTGCTTCAGCCAAAGGTCATTTTTGGGAGAGTAAACGAAGCAAAAAGAATCCAGAGGCGCAGCGATTCCATTTAATTTTTGAAGTTGATCGAGTCTATCTTATTATCCCACTTGGGTCCACAGATTCTCATCACTGAATTTAACACATTTGAGGAGACGTGATTAGTTCCATGACAATCCATCAATAAACTCTGCTCTTAGTTTCACATTTTTAACTTCAAAAAAAATATATATATATATTTATTCAACGCAATAAAACTTATAATTTATAATTTTAAAATACAAAGTTAATAATAATATTATAATAAATAAATACACGTAAAATAATAAACATTGAGATTGAGCGATCATTTTCTTTAGAGAGGCATTTTTTGTCGTATGAGACGTGGATATCATTTTTCATTCGTTAAAAGTAGAGTAGTTATGATCGAATTTGAATTAAATTTATATTTAATATTAATAATTTATATATTTATTTATATTTGATTTAGTTCAAAATTTTAGATTTTAAAATTTTTTAAAATTTATTTTAAATTAAAAAATAAATTTTAAATTTATTTATTAAATTTATTTTATATAATAAAAATTTTAAAAATTATAATTAAATTAAATATATAATTATATTTTTATATAATTCACATACATATATAAATAAATAACTTTATATATATATATATGAATTTAGATCAAATTAAGTTAGGATTGAGTTTTAAATATTTTATTAAAGGTATAAATCGAATTAAATAAATTTAAAAGTTAAAAATAAATTTATTTAACAAATTTTAAATTTTATTTAAAATTTTAAAAATTTAAATAAATAACTTGATCTTTGATTAGAAATCACAGAAATGGATGGGATAATTCGAAGGCAAAAACTATGCCATGGTCCCGAAGCCACAAATACGTGGGGTCGGACATCTGACTTACGAGTGGGGGACGGGACATGGCTTTTTGTACAAGTGCAATCACTCCTCTTAATTGGGTGATTAAAAAAACCCCCTTTCACATCTGCCTCCTTTTACAGCTGCCTTATCATTATTATAGGTGCCGTTCAACTACTGATTTGCCTTTACGTCAAATACGTTTATTAATGGACACCAATGAACATCCAAATGCCAGCCTCCTCTTTAGGTACCATTATTCTCACATATTAAGCTTGATTTCAGCCAAATAATAGTAATAAAGATTCTATTTTTTTCAATTCGAGGTCTTGTTTTGATGGCCATTGATTCATGGTTAATAACTGAACCTTCTGCAAAAGTGTAGTTATTACCAATTTCAAAGACCTTACTTTCTTTTAGTGTTAAGATCTTAAATGTTTTGTGGGACGTAAGTGTCATTTTTTTATGTCAATATCTTTGATTTTTATAGATGGAGTAAAAGTTGGTTTAAATTGATTAGATTAATTGAAATTGAATAAATTTAATTAATTTGATTTGATTTATTTAATTTTGATTATAATTGATTTTTTAGATTAATTAAATTAATTAATTTTTTTAATTTTAAAAATTGATGATTAAATGATTAAATTAATTGATTTTTTAATAAGTAAAAGTGAAAAATTAGTTACTAGTATTTTTAATTTTTTTTATAAAATATTATTGAAATTATTAAATTTTTAATGATTTAATTTGAATAATATTTGAATTTTAGTTTTATTGAATTAAATTTATGATAACATAATTATTTATAATAAAATAATAAAATATTTAATATTTAATTGAACTAATCAAATGATTTTGATTAATTCAATTATGATTAATAATTTAAATTTTTTGATTGATTTAATTATTTATTAAATAAAAATTAATTAACTCATTTATTTTTTTAAATTAAATCAACTGATTATTGACCTTTAACTTTTAATTTTTAATTCATAATTAGAATAAACTAATGCCCAAAGTGATCAGATTTGGGATTACCATCAAAACTAACAGGCAACTGTGGGCGACTGATACTAACCTTTGGCAAGTAGCACATGGCATACGAAGATCCAAGGGAGAAAAAAAATAGTTGTAGCAGTAGTAGAAGAGGAAATGGGAGGCGTGAGCATAAGCCATCATAAATAAATGATGATGGGGAAGTTGAGGGTCCCAAAAGGTTTAATGGGCATGATGTGATGGGCTTTTCCATGGCAATGGCCGAGATGTGGGGGACCAGGCAGCTACCTTTATGCCCAGCCTTTTTGCGGGTTTAGAATAAGTTCACAGTTTTGAGTGATTGGTGCTCTTTGTGTTTATACAACTTGGTAGATTCTCTCCAGGTTTTATGCTCTTAAAGCTCGACATGATTGTACTAACTACTTACCAATACATCAAACTTTGCCTCCCCCCTAAATCTCTCTCCAAACAAAGACTTCAGAAAACGTGGAATACACTAAAATGGAAGATTTATCAATGGGAGGGAGCACATGGATTCCATCCAAACCGGAAAATGTGGTGGGAAATTTGAAGGAAAATGCTCTGCCACTGGATTCACATGTTAATTTATTGACGATACGTACTTGAAAGGTGTACCAAGTCTGCATTGAATTGGTATGTGAGTTTCTAGAATGGCCCAAAGTCGATATTTGTATGGCAAGAACATGGGTTTTTCCATTGCCCAAATTGGCCGAGGCATACGATTTAGTTGGTCATATTCTATATGCTGATTAGGGTCTTAAGAAAGAGGTATAGAATCTAAAATATTGACAAATTATTTAGGTTAATGAATATTGAAAATAATAATAAAAATTATTATAATTTTGGTTGAAAAAAATTATTGTAATTGTAATAAAAAAAATTTCATAACAAATTTTATATTAAATGAATCTTACTGAAATTTATATTTAAATTTAATTAATAATGTGATAAATTCGATTGTTTTATATTAAA